AGACCGAGACGTGTAATAACGTTTGTCGCAACGTATGCCGGTCGATAGGGGAAAAAAGGAAGAAAGAAAGAAAAAAGGGAATAGAAAGGGAAGCAGATAATGCATATTACTAGGCGTTGAGTGGTTCCATTGGCGTGGGACAGAAATTCTAGACAAACCGGCCCACCACGATTTTCTTCGCGCTCTAATTATAAAGCGAGTCGCTTCTCATAATCCCTCTCTCCATTTCCGGAAAATCGGCCACGCTTTTCTTCGATATTCAAATTTCGAATCGCGAGTCTCTTCTCGTTTTCGAAGAAATTTCCATTTGCCTGGGAAACGCGAACTCTCGTTTTGATCCGATTAATTCCAATAACGTTTCACTCATCACCATTATCATCATCATCATCATCATTATCGTCGTCGTGAATTAAGCAAATTGTGCCTGATGTTATTAATTACAGTGAAAAATATAGTTACGAGTAGGACGTAACGAGTTTGATAATTAAATACGATTTATCGAAAAACGATACTTTTACTTTTGAGAGAAACGCTCCTCGATTAATCCGATGAGAACAGTTTTACTTTTAATTACGCGTAAATATGCAAATCTGTTGACGGATTAGAAAAACAGCAAGGCCGTTCAACAGCATTTCCGTTGAAAGGTGTCGTTTACCTTGCCTGGAAATCGGGGATACGTGATATACCGGGTGTCACGCCGGGTGTTGCCATTCTATTTGAACCGGTGTAGAAGTATAGATAACGATAAGCTCGCGATATCGCGATCTATTTTCAGCTCATCGACTGCGTGTATTTATACATGGAAATTCGCCGTGTCATTTTTTTCAACCGCGTTGAAACGAAGCATTGTGCGAAAGATTGGAGGACACCGTTGGACGGTGATTGAAAACTCTAAAGTGCGCGCATTCTTCGAAGCACGACGAAGATTTATAAGGGGTTTGATGAATTCCTGTTAAGGAAAAAGACCCTTGTAAGTTGTAACGCACCCTGCGAGCATATGGCGTCCTCCTCCATTCCACCCCAATGCTCTTCCTTCGATCTCTCCCCCTCTCCCCTTGAATTCTTTCTTTTTAGAGAGTTTCACACTCGATACGCCAGATTACCCGCTGGATTCTCGTTTAACGCGGGTGGTGGACTTCCTTTTCGTCGAATTCCTGTTAATTCCACCCCATTAAGACGATTCGTTTACACGAAACGAACGTTTTTTTGGCTTCCACGAAGGGAACTGTTTAATTCTTCGAGTTTAACTGTCTTCTTCTATTCTTGCTCACTCGCTCGCACACTTGGAAAGTGGATTGAATTTTTATTGAAAAGAGAAGAGAATTAAATTATTCATCAAACGGATTTATTTACATATGTTAAATATATATATATAAATATATACATTATAAAATAGAAAGTACAATGAATTTTTATGATACGTAAGATGAGAAAATTTGCTGTACATTCGAATATCTTAAAATTACAACTCAAACTTATTATATTAGCAACGTTTTCGTCGTGATGGATTTGAAAAAATATTTTCACATTTTTCATGGAATATATATTATAGTTAAGCGCAATCTTTGATGCGAAAATTAGATTTTCCAAAATTCATGCAGCGAGAAAAAGAAATTGAAATTATTTCTTCTTTCGAATATAATTCTAACGAGGCGATACTTTTATCCCAGACGAACACCTCTCCTCCAAACGGAAATATCCTGATGCGTATTCGGTTCGGTATAACCGGCTGGAAGTTATTGATGTCTCCTGACGAGGTGGCTTCTCTCTCTCTCTCTCGAAACTCCTGACGAGTGACAGACCCTCCCTTTGACACTTGTACGCGGTCGCCTACACGCTTTTTCTATCTTCCGTATTATTTTCTCTTTCATTAGCCGCCACCAACGAGGAAAATACGTCCAACAGTTTCTTCTTCCTTTAACAACGATCGGTGGCTCGGCATTCTCTGGGAATGCACCATATTACTCGTACCGTTATGTAAATATCGCGACGAACACGATCGACATTGTTGGCCCATAACAAAAATGTTATGGCCACTGCTCGTGTGGTTTTATAATGGACCCCTCGGTCGTGTCGTTTACAGTTTGTTAACCCATTAACTGTTATCTTCTTGTCCAAGTTTTTGTAAGATTTCATCGGGTCGTCCATTTTTCTTTTTTATCCACTTCAAATTAACCATTATATTGTTGGATATCGATACGATTTCGAAGTAAAAGATTTTGAATAAGAATTGAAATAATAATCGAAAGAATTCGATCTCGCTTAAACGGATCCAAAAAAATAATTTCTTCTAGATTAAAAATTCTAATAAAATACGTTAAAGCAAGATCAGTCATCTCTGAAAGAATAGAAGGCAGGAAGAATACAGGAAGAAAATGTAGGAAGACGCGAAACAAAGAAAAGCATCGCACATTGGGAAGTGGTAAAGGAATTTGAAATCGTGGAACAAGAAGCAAAGGCTTCGTAGCCACGTCCAAGGGGCAAAAAATGTCGAAGAAAGATCGATACTGGGTGCACGAGCACCTGAGAATTCTTCGTAAACCGCATTTAATGTTCGCGCGTAAGCGTATTGGAATTCCTTCGATGAATCAGAAATCTCGCAATTCTTGGCGACCATCTTTCTTCCCTCTTCCGCGAAGATCATTATTTATCGCGTATCTGGTAAAAGCCGCGTCAAAATTCTACAACAATTCAGACCAGAGTTTCGAGCTTTGTGTTTATAAGTGTACAACCGCTTTGTTCAAAGTTAGAAACGAAACACTCTCTATCGATTCTGGGTCCTCGTAAAACGCCACTGAGAATTCCACGATTCCAAGGCGTGTTAGAACCCCGCTGTTTGTTTAACTGAAACGCAAATACGACCACGAGCCTGGCATTTACGTTCTCTCTCGTGCGAACGAAATTGAAATATCGAAAGTATCGAAAGGTCGAGAAAAATTTCTTGGAATAAAAATGATACTTTACGTACTCTGGAATTACGTAATGCGAATAATATCGAGAAAATATTTCAATTTTTCAATTTCTCTCTCTCTCTCTCTCTCTCTCTCTTCTTTTTCTTATGTATTA